AGGTGGCTGGTTGGGGAGGGGTGGGGAGCAGGTGGCTGGTTGGGGAGGGGTGGGGACCAGGCGGCTGGTTGGGGAGGGGCAGCTGGAGGTACCTGAGCACCTGCTCATTTTGCCCAAATTACTTAATGTGAATTTGTGTGTGAACTTTAAAGGAAACAAGGCCCTTTTCTGACCTTTGACCACCTGCCTCTGTACAGCTCTGATGGGGAGTACATAATACTCCCCATCTGGAAAGTCTCCCATTGCTACTAACATCCTACTACTCTAACTAGTATTATTACTCTGAATTACTATTAATTGTACCATTTTCTACAGCTCGATCAGGACAAAACAGAGATCTTGGTGATTGGTACTGAAGCTCAGAGAGAAACTTTGTGAAACTACAAGCACTGGCCTTTAACCCAGACATCCCAAGTCTCCCGGAAGTTCCGGGAGTCTCCCGCATATTGATAGCGGCTCCCTGATGCCCGCAAATTGAATAAAATGTCCCGGAAACTAGAGCAAGCACACAAGAGCATGCGCGCGAGACAGTAACGTGTCCATCACGCACTTGAGAAAATCGCGCGCACGACGGAGAGAGAGAGAGAGAGAGCGTGCGTATGAATGGATCCCTGCGTGTGTGCCTGTTCATGTAGCCCGTGCTAGACAGACAGCATCCTGATTGGTCTACTTAGCAAAATAAGCCAATCAGATGTCAGTGCAGGCGGGCTTTTATTTAACTTCTCGAGGACCGAAGTTATCGGTTCAGTGGAGCCTTCGAAATTTAGTGTGCTGACTAGAAAAAATTAATTAACAAAAAATTTTCTTGTTTGAAATAAAGTCATTTCCCTTCTTGATCTCAGTTTTGTGCCTCACGTTAGAAGCATAGCTAAGAGTGCATTCTGTCACCATAAGAACATTGCCAGAGTGCATCCGTTTCTCTCTCAAGCCAACACAGATACACTAGTACATGCTTGTATTACCTGCACGAATGACTACTGTACATTTCTGAGATCCATGGTAACGTTTCAATTCCTGTTTCAATTGTCAATTCCTGTTTTTATTGTCAGGTCTATTCTTTAATTATTAACTTATGTATCTGTTTATTTGTTTATTTACTTACTTAATTATAACTGTCTTTCTTGTCTTTTGTCCCATTATTTTACAGTTTGGGTGAGGGTGGCAGTAGGGGTGGGTTGATATTGTTTATTGTTTATTAAAAAGCATTTTCTGTTGCATTGTGTTTGTAGAAAAAGTGCTATATGAATAAAGTCTGATTGATTGATTGATTGACTGACTGACTGATTGACTATAGAATGAGTGGTGCCGTCTTGGGTGCTTCTCCTTACAAAAGCATCTTCTGACGTGTAGTACTCAGGAATGGGGATGTAGTGGTTGCTGACTTTTGACTTGTCCTTCTCCTTCTCCTGGGCGTCCCACATGATGTTATTCAGGTCTGCAAAGTTGTGGTTCATGTCGATGCCCTCATAACTGTACCGGCCCAGGGCCCAGCCGGAGAGCTCCGACCCCTGAAGGGGGGATGCCACCATTCTTATTTCACACAAAAGATGACACAGCCTTTTATAACTTGACCATTTACATTCTATTTATGATCTTAACTGAAACATAAGCAAACTTAGCACTTTTTCCCCAAGCCAGTACAAGACTCACAATTCCTCTCCTTAATAACCAGTAAGTAAAATGCATAATTCTAGGTGAACATAAATAGGTGAAATTATTTTGCTTAAGTAATATTTCTACCATTTTGAGCAAAATTACTTGCCATATTTTTTTAAAACAAGTAAAAATATAATAAAGCTTGAAACAAGCGAAATGCTCTGACATAAAACTACCTGGTAAGATAAATACCTTGTTAGACAAAAAATGAGCATATAAACCTCAATTTAAGACATTTCCTCTCAGATTTCACTTTTTGCAGTGTAATAGCATGTCTACTGTTACAGCGTTTCCCTGCTTTCTACCTTGCTATATGCTTCCTCGTGACCATCAGGATTCATAGACGGCAGCAGGTGGATGCGTGTCTCCTTCACTAAGCGCACGACACGTTCCCTGCCGTTTTTATATTCCCTGCAGAGGTACTGCATCAGATTGAGGAGGAGCTCTCGGCCGAGGGCCTCGTTGCCATGCATCCCGGCCACGTAGCGGAACTCTGGTTCACCTACAGGAGACACAGGGCGGGTGCACAACATCAGTCGACAACCATGGCGTCGAGAGGATCACACCCAGAATGTCCCGCAGTATACCGGCCCTTACACAAAAAAATCTTACACATTTTTTGATGCATAAATGCTCTTGGTTTCCTGGATTTACATTTTAAAATTGTACGGTATCTCCAGCAGCATACGTGCCTTCTGATGGTTATCGGGACTGAAGTGCATTCAGTTAAAAAGCTGAGTTTATAAAAACTTTAATGTGGTATTTTTTTTTTGTTGTCAACCAAACTTACATTCTACTTTGTTAACTAATACATTTAGGTTTCCTGATCAACAGTTTTCTTCTGCTCTAAATAATGCTGACAGAAGCCTAGTGAGGAAATAGCAAAATGCTGAGTCATTTTTGATAGTACGTTCATTTGAAAAACTTCACTTCTTTAGTTTTGCTGAATGAATTATCTGCCAACTCCAAAGGTTTCCATTTTGCTGGAACTTTCTTTTCTACTGGCTGTCATTATGAATAAGTGGGTAAGTCTGCATCAAATTTACAACAGAACGAATGAAAGCGAACAGAATGAAAACCAGTATCGCCCCAGGGACTCATAAAGAGTCGTCTCCTTTTTCTGAGTATTCCAGCCTGCTCCTGTGTTTTAAAAGCATGTTAGTAACCTACTTGCAAGCAAGAAAAAGTAAGTTTATGATCAAAGTTTCTCTTTTGTTCTTGATAGATAGTGTGGTAGAAAAATTATAAATCAATCTTTCTGATAACACAGAGAGTCACATAGAATAAAAGTCTGGACCTCTCAGTTTGGTGAGTAAAGAAAATCTCTTTCTCCTGTCACACTCTGGCACTCTGTACCAAGTTCCCCCCAGCACACAGAGCAACCAGTTGATAAACCATAACTCCCAATTCCCAATAAGGACTTCTAAGTCCTGATTGGTCACAAAAAACCAACAAACCAAGTTCAAATATATACCAAACTGAATTCTCCTGCTCTATTGGTTCACCTTGGTTGCAAGGTAAAATCCACCCATCTTGCTCAATTTACCAGAATCTGTCTCGGTTTCTAGACTCTACTTGATATATA